CACTGGCGCCCTTCAAGGCACCGAATACACGGGAGCCGGTCGAGGTGCGCTTGAGGCCGACGTCGAGGTAGGCCTTGAACGGGCGGAGCGCGTCCTCCTCGTCGAGAGCCTCGGTGATGGTGAGCGTGCCGTCGGGCTCCTCCACACCCTCGTACTTGTCTGCAAGGCCAAGCTTAGTCAGCGCCTGTCGGGTCCTCGCGGATTGCGGCGTAGGCATTGGTGTAGATCTCCTCCATGTCCTCCGAGCCAATGCCGTCGGCGAGGTAGGTAGAGAACTGCTTATTGAAGCTATTCGTGGGTCGTCAGTTTCAAGTCGACACTTAATGCAGATTTAGATACGTACTGCTCGTCATCGTCCTCCTTGAGGGACTCCATGTACTCGGCAACATGATATCCGAAAATGTACTTGTTGAGTGTGTCGTTGTTAAGCTCCTTAGAGTCGGGGCCGTAGCCGGGAAGCGCTTAGCTTTGTGGGGAGTGAAGATTCAGCCGTAACTGGCGCTCTTCAAGGCACAGAATACACGAGAGCTGGTCGAGGTGCGGTTGAGGCCGACGTCGAGTTAGGTCAAGGGGCTCGTTCTCTTCGTCAAGACTCGCTGCGATGATGAGCGTTCTGTTTTGGACGTGGAAAGCCGGTACAGAGTCATGGGTCATTGACATATTATCATTCAGTATTGATCATGACCATGTCGCCGCTTAAGAATGTCGGCGCGAGGTAAGCTTATGAGAACTTGGTGGGTTGTGTGAGCCTTCGTTTGCGCCATCGCCGGAAGACGGTTGACTTTGGTGTCTGTCTATTATGACCGGTTCTTTTCTATGCTTCTTGTCAGTTGCATTGTAGTGGTTCCATGAAGATGTACCGTGGCTTTCGTCTGGGAATGACTGCCAATGTGATGGCCGCCGCGTGTCGGATTTGATGAATTCGTTGTCGATGCACTTTTCCTCTCGCCCTCATCATGGCGGTCTTGTTTCAGCTCCCTCCCGAGCTTTTGGTTATGGTAGTGTTATGCTTGAACTGGGAGGATATGGTAGCGCTGAGTGGGGTGCGTGAAGCTGTGTCTCGGCGGGTTAGATCTAACATAATTCTAAGGTCTGCAAATGGTTTCGGGTCCTGATACAGGACGACGTCCACTGTCAAGCACATTTTACCTCGTCGCGGTTCTGGATCCGTCAACCTAGTCTACGTCGTCTTTCTTTGCAAGCCTTCGGTGTACGAGCTGCGTCTCTGCATTCGTCTTGGACTTCGTTTTCTTGGGCAGGCGTGTCTTGTATAGTCGTTCGAGATTTCGAGTGCGGTCCCACCTTTGTCACGGACGGCATGTTGTACACCAGCTCCCGTGGTTCTGACGGGTACATCTCATGCATACATGCGTATGCTATGACGAATGCCGTTGCTGGTGGCTATGTGTATTCTCAGCAACACAAGTTGCTGGTGCCTCCGGACGGCCATGTGCTCGATTACAGAGTATTTGAGGATCGTCGCGTTGTAGTTGTGTTGTGGGGGCGCAGTGTTCGGTGAGGTTGTCACATTGTACCCTGTGTTTTTGATAGTTGATGATTCGTTCAGGGATGCTAGGTATTCTTTATTGGACCTAGATGCGCAAGGTCCAGACGATTGGAAATATTTCGGATGTGAATTCCCGTCGTCACTTCCTTTAGACGTCGTTCGTTCTCTAAAGACGACAATCATCGGCCAATTCGTGTTTACAACGGTGGACTTTGCCAATCTCGGCGAACGGTGCAGCTATGCCACAGACTGGAAAAGTGGGCGGGTTATCAGGGTGCGTGTATGTGGCATCAAATGCCATGTCATCGTTACTCATCAGGCATAGGATGGAGAGCTCTTCGGGTCCGCGCCTCTTGTTTCCGCCGTGGACCGCGGGGTCTATCTCATTATTGGCCCGGAATTCGACTTACGCGTATGTGCGCTCAACGACTCTTCCGTGGCGGGAACTTGTCTCGGTTCTCTGGAACTGCCCGAAATTGTCGAAGATGGGACGTGCGAAATCGACCCTGAGAACGTTCAAGTCCGGTTATGTGGTTCCACGGGTTATACAGGAGTTCTGGAAAGGATGGACGGCCGTGGCCTGGTTCTTATTCGGTTTGACCTCCTTATCGACGGGCATGAGGTTGATTGTATTTCCATCATTGTCAGCGTGCAGGCGGTGCTACATGTAGTGCGGTCGCTGACGGATCCTCTTCAATCCGTGCCTTGGTCTGAATGGGGGCCGTATTGCTGTAGGATTGTTTCGGCTAAGAAAGTGCAAGTGTGGGGATATCGGGCGATCGTCGCGACGGGCCGTCAAACAGGCACCCCAAGTGATCCGGAGCGTTGCGAACAATGGGTCGTGCTGGATTTTGCAGATTCGCGGGGTTGGAAGGCAACGCTTGGGCGTCATGTCGATAAGGAGGATGTATGGGGCGGCGTGTATTCGACCTCCAGCTACGTCATTGTCGATGTTAAGGAGATATTCGCGGGTTGGGGAGAGCAGGCGTTGTCCTGTACGGAATACCGCGTTCGCGGTCCCGAGTGCCCAACCAGTGGGTTCTACGTTGACGACACTCGCCTTGCTATAGTGAAGGTATCGTACTGTGTCATTTGCGATGGTTACATTCTGACTGATGTACGTCATTTAGGATGGAGATTACACAGCGACGAGTGATGGCGCAACAGTGATCTATCACTTCTGATGCTCCATCCGTACATAAGGTTCGGTGCGGTCGGTGCTGCGTCCTCATTCCTTGATGCTCCCTCTTCTCAGTCACGATGATGCTTTGGCGGATCCTGTTATCTTCTGTGTATTGAGCCTTCTTGATATCTCAGACATATGTACCCTTCGTCTGGTTCGTTCATGTTCTGCATCCATGTTCTTTGCTCTAATTCGCGTATGGAATCATTCGCAGTGTTGCACGTCGCTATGCGAGGCTATAAGCAACTACTGGGGATGGGTTCAGGCGCTGTATCGTGTGCAGCGGCAGATATCTTTCAATGTCGAAGATGATGACTTCCGCATCGCGTTACATGTGCTGGAGAGGGAGAGAAGGTGGCGATTGTTTGATTGGAGGGTTCAGTCCGGCGTCTGGCCTCACAACCTCGACGAGTGCTCCATTGTCACGGATGGAAAGATTATTACGCGGTCGTCCGACTCAGTCTTTTCTTCGGACGATGGTCCGCAGTGCGTGTATATCGAGGTATACGATATACCTCGCTTGTGCGGCGACACCATAGTTCACAATTCAAGTCGTCGTATGGTAACAGGTCCTCCTCTTATGGCGTATGAGTGGTCTAGAAGCAAGCAGGCGCTTGTTTTTCTTATAGGGACGACTGCGTATGTGCTGGCAACTTTTATATGCAACACGAACTGATCGTGTTATAGGATGTGCGCTGTTTTCTACCAATCTGCTTGGGCCAGATGTGACTAGCGGTACAAGGTACATATTCCCCCCCGGCATCAGAATCCGGAATCCGGAATACTTCATAACGGAGTGGGATGGAATTGTCTTTGCCAAGTCTCTATGGAGGGACGGTGATAGAGACGGGTGCGTGCTGGATGTTTTGGAAGATAGCGTGGTGCACGTGCGTAAACCATTTCGCCTTGATACTGTCGTTGACTATGTATAGGACGGTGAACGGGCTAGCTTGCTTAGTAAACGATGGACCGAACTTGGTGGAGGTTGGCACGTTTGCGTGTACAGCAATGACCGCGTCGCTGTTGCGCGCTGGTTGTCTGGAGCGCGGGAATGGCAGGTCGAATGTTGGTTGGAGCTGCCATTTGTCGTCGATGTCGAAGTCGTGTTCAGCCTTTTGGATCCGCATCTGTCGTCAGGGTCAACTGAAGCGGTGGAGGGTGGTGGATTATTTGCGATAAGTGTTTGGTGTAATGGGCCCCTTTCATTCCTTGTCGTCGACCGTGTTCGGCTGCGGACGTTGGTATGTGCGGCTGTTGACGGAAGGATCGATAACTCGCAACCGCTGGACGTTGGTTGGTCACGGTGGTCGTCCTGTTGTCGCCCATGTTCGGGAACAGCCAAAGCAATTTACAACTACCGCGTCGTCGTTTATCGCAAGTCGTCTTCGGGCGTTGCTGGAGATCCCGAGCGCAGTTGTCGGTGGAGTGTGTTGGACTTTTATCCATGGAGTCCAGGTTCAGGACATAGGCAGGGAATGAATGGGGCGGTTGTTCGGGCGTTGAGTTCCTTTGATATACTCAGTACCGATTATCTAGAGGGAAAGCCTTGGAAATCCGTAGAGTTCCCTTCGGGCGTTGTGCCATGCGTGGAGACCGTTGTGGATGGCCCGCCCTGTCCTGACGACGCTGAACTATACATGGATGCGGATCGTTTGATGATTGTTCCGGTACGTCATGTTGATTCCATATACGGTCTTTTATTCACACATTACAGTACGGAGAAGGTGCCTGTTCAGTGTATCATTTTAACTAGATATGCGATGTTTTCACGTGCTATTGTATATTAGTATGCGTTTGCGCGTTATACCGTTGTGTTCAACTGAGATAGCGATTGGATGAGCGTGCTGTAAGCAAATAAAGTGTCCGCGATGTCCGAGTTGTGGCTTTGTTCTGAGCAGACGGTCTGCTTGTGCACGATCAATTTTACACGTGGCGGTGACGCGATTTCGGTTCACCGGCGCGGTCTCCGCTCCGCGGTGCGCGTGGTTTAGCCTCGTTTGCTGCCTAGTCATCGCTTGTATCTTCCTGACTATCAGGACATATGCAAGGATCATCAATGGATGGTGCTCTTAGCGTGTTCGGTGCGTGTCATCGTACGGTCCTGCGGCCTGGTCTGATGTCTGGTTTAGCTAACGCGGGAGGCGATATCGTATTGCTGATTGCGCATACGTTGAAATCCATCTGGCCTGCGGCTTCCCCACAACGCGATGCGGATACTGGAAGGGATATTTTGGGCATGGGCTGGATCACCCTCACGCACTTAAATCAGCGTTTCAGGACTATACTGCTCGACGACGATACGCTCTGGAAAGACATAGGGATGGCATTTCTCAAATTTGATGCCGTTAAATGTATCACTGGTCGTCTTACGCGGCTATCTGCCGATATATCGTACGACCAGCATTTGCGGACCGCGGCTTGTATATCATCCGCTATCCCGGATCTCGACGCCATAACTTCCCCGGACAATGGTGTTCTCCTACAAGCGGGTACCATTACGTCGACATTCTTGTCCGGTACTGGTGTGGTTCTGCCCTTCCAGCCTGAGGACAGTAACGTTCCTTTGAATGGTTGCAACTGGCGGAGGGCGTTCGAAGGGCAGACCTTTCCGAACCTGGCAATACTTACGACGGTCATCTGTTCCAAGACACCGCTCCCCGTTCCAAGCTTTATCGCGCCGTCTTTACGCGCCATCAACCTCTCGGGAATTTATACTACCGACGAAAGCACAGAAGGGTGTTCGTATCGGTCGTCCTGGGATCATCCGGGCACCATGGATGGGGCATCGTTCCTACGCATGCTTCGGGGACTACCGTCATTACGCGAGCTGCGGCTACAAGACATCGCACTTTTCACCGCACAACAACCTCAATTCGGAGTTGACGGACTAATCGGACACATCAGAAGCCTATACGTTCACACCAGCCATTCGAAGACCGTTCGGCTGCTTCTTGAATCATTGGATCCATCCAGGCTGAAGGACTTGACCGCTGTAACGCGCATTGGTTCTCAGGACGTTATACCCGCGTGGGCGTGGTCTGGATCTTCCTTAACTTCGTTGGATAACCTCGACCTCGTCGTTGAGTCGTCAAGAGATCTTAGTTGGGTTACGTTGTGCAAACCACGTCGTGGCGCATACAGCCCTTACGAGTATTGCGGCACCGAAGACACTCTTGACATATCAAGGCATCGTGCTGGGCGTCCCAATATCATCATTGGGCGTAAGCGCTTGACCAGGTTATACTGCCATGGTCCCACAAGCGTGTTCGAAGCGATCAACGGTCCTCCTCAAACGATCCTTACATCGCCCTTTCCTTTGGACCTGGACGCGATGCATAACAAGATTTACAAAGTGGTCATTCTTGGTCTATATGCACTTTCCCGCACCGCCGGCTGGCACTTGCTTCCCGAAGGGGATGACTATAGATTTATCTCGAGGCTGCCGTGGGCGGGCGAGTACCATTTACTTGACGAGCGCGCGGCTGCCAGGTGTTTCCAGTTTTTCGACAAGTCCTTGGATAATTTAGTCATTATCAGTCTGAGCCCTTGGTATGGGCGTTCTGCGATCAGCGAACTCGCTTCTATTCTCCGATCTGGAGGGATGGTCGCACCGAAGCGTGTGGAGCTGCGGGGCTCAGTTCGCATGGCGGACGGATCTGATGTCACCGAAATCGATGACATGGTGGGCCGTCGACTTGTCGACAAACGTACCCAGTACATGTCCGATGAAGCGGATGAAGTTCAGGAACTCAAGCATGCTGAGGTAAGGTTATCTTTTATTTTCATCGGCAAGAAATATTCGAGCTAATAATCGGCCTAGTTTGTCATGTTGGCCCTTGAGACGCAGATGCTCGTTAGATCAAGCGGCTATACGTAGACATCTGTCATCGTCCGTGTACTTGTATCCATCTAGATGCATCTTCATATATATATTGATGTGTACGCGACTGTAACGCGTTGATGATTGCGAGCACGTTAATTTAGAAAATGTCAATAACTCGTCAAGATGTTGATTGTGTCAGACGCGTAAGTGTACATGCAGTCGGGTTCCTGTGGTTGGTCTACAGCACTGTTCATGACATCTCTCGGACGTGTCCTTGTCGAATACGGTAGGCTAGCTCACGCATCTATTGTGTGTCAGTATTCGTAGTTCTTGATATTGTAGCAACTTTACCTTGGCGTGCGCGTAATTGTGTCGGGCAACTTGGAGCTCAGCCATGAGAGGATCCGCTGGGCGCCTGAATACGAGTCCCGTCGCTTCCCTTTGATCAACCACGCGCTCGCCGTAGTTCGCGGCCATGGATGCGACGGCCTCGTTATCCCACCAACGTTTGACTCCTGCGATGACGATCTGCGTGGGATGTTTACCAGTCACATCCCAGGCTGATAGGGCCACGCTAAGTTGTTCCAGACCGGATGGCCCGTACCAGCGGTCGTTACATATGAACGTTATATGAGAAGGGCAAGACGCGTGCGTCGCATAAGAATCGCACAGTACTTGTGGCGACAGATACACAGACGCGCACTCAGTACTCAAATGGGCGGTGAAGCGCCAATCGTCGTGTGGTTTGGCCCATAGGCGGATGTCTCCCTTGTCCTCGTAACGGCCGGCGTAGACGACTGTCGTTACCCGGCTCTTCATGATCAACTCTATCGGTGTGTTGACATCGCCTTCGTATGCGATGGATAACCGACCAGGGCGGGCGTAGATGTTAGGGCCCCACCGACGATGAGTTTGGATGTCGTGATGGTCGGATCCGTCACTGAAAATAGGCGTTTGTTCTCCTGCATCGCCCGGCTGCGTGAACGTGAACCACTTGACGTCGTCGTTGTCCTCCACATACAGTCTCATGTTGCCCTCTCCGAGGCCTGCGACAGACCACAACAATTCGTATACGTCGTTTGGAGGTTGGATGCGCGTTACGATGTCCCAACGAGCATTTGGCGCGGTGATGTGTTTCATGACAGTCGGCAAACACCCATGCTCGCTACAGCGCACGAGAACGCGTCGCAGGGACTGGACCGTGACCGGGGTTGGGGATTTTGCATTCTCGATTTGGAAATGCATACCGTCCAGGTGAAGTTCTTCAAGAACGGGAAGTTTATTGATCGCGTCCAGCAACGACGACAGGTTTGCCATTGGCTCGCATGTCCACGCCCTCGACGCTTCATAGCCCGTTCGTGCGTAGCCGCCTTTCACCTCATCGGCGGTCCTGAGATCCATGCCGAGTCCGACGAGACGTAGCGTGGTCAGACAGGGTCCATGCACTTGAGGCGAGTTCACGGAAGAGCGGCGCGTCTGCAGTGAAGCGCTGCGGGTGTATGGGACGACCAGGGTGGTGAGTTTGGGGCAGCGAAGACCGTTCAGGCCTTTGAGTAATGATGGAACGCTCAGGTCGTTGCTGTAATAATTCACCGTCGAATTATTACGTCGTCCAAGCGAGAACGTCCCGCTGATGATGCGCGCCTTGGATAGTAGCCCGCGTCCCTCTTGGCTCTGGAAGAGCCAGTGAAAGTCGTTCGAGTGGGATTTTGAGCAGCAGGAATCAAGAAGCCGGTCCAAGTCTATGACGAGGCTCATATCTCCAGCGCGTATTGCGAAGTCCTTAATGAGACCCTTGACCGGGAAAGAGAACGCGTCTAGAGCCCACAACACGCGTGTTCCATGTACCGCTTTTCTCCACCACGAACAGACCTGCATCAGTTTCATCCAACCCCACTTGCGCGTCTTGTACGTTCCGTTCTTTTTCGTGACGAGTATTCCAGCGGGTTTCATCTCGCGAAGATACGTAGCGATCATGCCGATCAGCTCCGCGGGTAGGTTTGCCTGGTCATACTCGTCGGTATCAATATCAAGATTTGCGGCGTAATACTCACAACAACATTGTCCCTGTTCTCGCCCACTGCTTCGGCAGGTTCAATCTTCTTAGATCGCTTCGCCATGGCTCGGTGAATCGGCTTTGGAGAGCGTGTGCAGATGGACGTTGGTTTCAAGTCGCGTCCACGAGGCATGACTAATGTTCACACGCGCTGTGGTCATGCTCGCAGTTGGCCGTACACTGATATAATCTCGCTGTTGCTACATGCAGTTTCTGTATAGCTAAAACTGCGGGATGTCGGTGTATGGTACGACAGGCATAAGGCCGCTTTATATTTGTGTGACGTCATCGATGCATGAACAGACCGTTTGTTCAGGAGGCTGGTCACGTGAGTGTATTATGTCTATTTTCGTGATAGTGTTAGGGCGTCATGTGCTATTATCTGTATATTGTCTGAGCGGGTAGTCTGGCGATATGATATCGAGTATCCACTTACTCCGACTTCAACGTAGCTGATGTCATCTTGTAGTATCAATCGCGTGCCCGGATATGCCACGGCGTGCCTTCTCGCACGGTTTACTGGTACAAGGTCAGCAGCGGCTTTGCAAGTCGAGTGACGAGTCTCTCGCCTTCCAGTACGAGCGTTCCGGAATCTGTATTTCCAGTCCTGTTAAGTTTAGTGCGTACCGCGCATTGCCGTTGCTGGTCGTAACCATAGTACCAATCTATTTGACGCCCAACGACCACCCCGTTACAAACGCTGCACAACTCTGAGACATCTTCTGATGCTATGAGTGCTTTGCCAGTGCTCCATTCGTCCCATTCCGCTGTCCCCCATTTAGTTGCACAGTCGAATGGAGGGTACTCGTGGTCATCGTCCGATACGTCGACAGGTATGGTTGGGGTGCCTATGTTGTCGTCCTGGAACTTTGTCCTCGCCAGTTCCCGGAGACCGTGCAGTGATCCTATAACTGTTAATATTCCACCCGCCCCTTTCTCGTCTTCGTATTCTAGACATAGCGCGTACACTCCCTCGTCCGGCACTCTCAGCCAGTGGTCTGCTGAGCGGAAAGGGGTTCTTTCGGTAGTGGCCGGCTTACTGCGATGATGATCGTAGTATAGTCTGGCCTTTACGAAGTCGCACCCATTAGGGATTCGCGTATCGGGCATGCGTAGGCGGCGTCCTCTTTCACCCAATACCAGTCGTCCTTCGTCATCTCGAGCAATGGATAGCAAGTCGAGTAAGCCTGTGTCGTCGACGACGAGCATAACTTGCTCTGTCAAGACCATTATGTCTGTAACGTGCATGAAGTTAGATGCGTAGAACTTCCGTGTTTGTTAGACAGTGGTTCATGACGTTATCGGTACGTGCACGTACAGCGCTTCCAATCCCAGTAATCCAGTCCAGCAGCACTATCATGGTTTCGCCAGTTGAGGTAACGGCACGGATGGTCAACAGGTTCGCATATACGTCCATTCTAGGCCGCTTGTTGTATGTTGGCGCAGAGTATGAGAATATCTCGTACGTGGTAGATGACGACACCGAGGGATGCGGTAGACCGGACGACAGTTGCAGGGTGTCGATCATCCAAACCGGCCTACTTCATGTTAGGTTCTGTTTGTAGGCGGTGATAGTTTCACCGACCGTTCAAGTGGTTCGTACAAGATTACGAGGAGATCATTGGAGACGTCGGCGTGGTAGCAAAGTATGTGGCGACCGCCTGTTTTCATGACAATGAAAGGGGCATATGGCTTATTGTTCGGCATCGCCTCCATCCTATACAACCGGAGTTCTGTAGACGAGGCTGTGTGCATTGCGGTAGTTTTCAACAGGCATGAGAATATCCCCTGCCGTGCTATGCAGTTATATATGCGGGTGTCCTCCGGGAGTATAGGGAGTAGTCGTTGAACTTGGATGCCGTACTCCGCGGGACTATGCAACCGAGCCAGCGTCGCCCTACGCATGTACAAGGCCACGTTCTCCGATCCGTGCTGAGGTGTCAGGCCTTTCTTGATAGCGTCGACTTCCAGATTGTGTTCGCCGTCGTCGTCTAATACCAGCTTCGTACGCCAATTCAGCTGAATGGAACACGACGTCAGCGTGCGTGGCTCGGGTATGTAGGCTCGTATCCGTACAAGCCGTAGCCGTGCGCGCTCCAGTACAGACAGGTATCTGAGAATGTGCATGTACGTTTCGCTGGGTATGGTGTCCATGAGTGGTGCGTTTACTGGAGACGAATGGTTCTTGTTAAGTAGCTGTGGTCGCGTCTCGACGGAGTTGTAGCGGCGGCCTCGTTATGGATTTTGTCGGTATTTCCGGTTTTGGTTCTGATTTGATGTCACTGCAACATGCTACATCGTCCGGACCTGCACGTGTCTCCATTCTCACGTTGCATGGTCTTTATAAGCCTCAGATCGATCCGCAGACGATGATCTGCCCTTCGTCGTCGACCGTCATCAACTTGATATGTCTGTCATTGGTTCAGATAGTGCAGCGTCGGCGTGTGCGTTGATCGTCGTTGTCATCAAACGTTGACGCTTACTCGTGTTGCGAATCAGCTACCAGTCGCGTCGTCGCGTCCGCCGGCCATGGCAACGTAGTCCTTCCCGCGGGAACGGACAAGTACCCGTTCTACGCATTTAGGAATGGCCGTGACGGATCTGCAATTGTCACGAGCTAGTGCGTATGGTGACCTGGCCTCGTCCGTTTTCACTGCTGATGGTCGTCAGTGAGGCGATGTTGGAACAAACGAGCGGAGTTCCGAACGCCTGTGGCAAGGGCTTTCACGACAAAGAGCAGGCTGTCATATGGGTGGACAGCTTCGTGTTGGCGAAGCATCCTGAGATCTTGGCCAAGTCCGAGGCTAGGGTTGCGTTGTTGCAAGCTCAATATGCAGACGCACTCCGACGGGCGTCGTCGTGAACGTTCAATCGTATGCGTACAAGCAATAGTAGCGTGGTATTGTAATTGATGGCTGGATGCGTCATTCGTTGGTTGCTGTAGTCATCTACGATGTCTTGCATGTCGTAACTGAGTGACGTCGTTCTCGGAAGACTAAGCCGGATATGTGCGATCTATATGTGTTGGGACGTTGTTTTACGTTCTATTGCAAAATGCGTTGACTGTAACGATCGCGTGAGGGGGCGCTGTTTTCAGGTATTGAGATAACGTCGGGTATACTTGCGAGAGCTTAGTCGGCCGACTAGATGGTTATGCTTGCCACATGCCTTGGGGGCGCCGAGAACCTGAGCAAATACATTAAACGATTTACCCTGATGGACACTGTTCAAGTCACACGTCCCGGTCCGCTTGCGTTAGGCCGACGCGGTCATGTTCACCGCATCATGTTTGGTTATAATGGTCGTGTAGCATTGTATATTATCAGGTACTCGTATGAATAAAGGGACTGGCAGGACAATTGCGATGGCTATATACGTTCATGTGTATCTGTATTGGGCACGAGTATCAGGGCTGGACGGTAACGCTAGCCAATGCACGCTCCTCGGCCTCAGTCTCCCTGATATACATCAAATGGTACTGGCAAGGTCGCGAGTCTGGCTCCCAGTCTACAGGTTCCACTTCTTCCTCGAAGTGGAAATTGCTGATATCCAGTACGCAACCCTTGCAACAATTCCAATATCCTTGATGGCAAATCGGACAAAAGACCTCGGGCGGTACAGCGCCATGTTTAGAGAGGTAGTGGTCCTGGGCCGTTTTTTGCAGCGACATGAAGCAGGTTCCACATATTTTGTGATGGCACGCGGAGAATCTAATGGGCAGCGTGAGATGCACGTCGTGACAGAAATGAGTATACGACGTACTTTATCGGGTTGACCATTCCTTTGCGACAGTTGGGACAGTTGAGAATGAGCGCGGCGTATTCGTTGGATAACACGGCCTGAGATCTGGTAAGAAGACGAAGTCAAAGTCGAGATGATCGCGCACGTTCAAGCTCAACGCTATGCCACTGATCCTGGTAGGACGTTTCTGGCTATGTCCTTTCGCTACTGCCTTTGCCCTTGTAACGCGCGCGTGCACTTCCTCTCCTACGGTCGTCTCGATATCGGATAGCTGCGCCCGTGTCGTCGGTTTGCGTCGTGGGTTGAGCGTTTGGTGATCACGCGATGCTGGCTGTCGCTTGGTACGCATGGTGAAGGTTGTAGGTTCGGTGTAATATGAGCGGGATGTTGGAGCGGCGATGTGTTTGGGAGAGTGTTGGATTTTGTACTTGCCGGGACTGGTAATTAACGTCGGTGATGGGTGCTTTGATTGGGTGGTTGGTTTCCTGCGTGGTTAAACCATTGGCTTATGCACATGCCGCCAATCAACCACGACATCTGAATGTAATTAACCCTTTCAGTTGAGCTCCGATCGAGGTGTATATGATGAGTTTTTCAAGAAGAACGTTAGGATAGCTGTCATTGCGACGAACCCGATGGTCTCGTGGGAGTCAAGCCATGCGCGGCGTACGTGGTTATGGCGCCTGCTGTATCGTGCATCTTCCCGTTCATATGACTGAATTTGTTGCCTGTGCAGTTCTGGCGTTGGGGATGAGAGTGGACGGATGCTTACTGTGTGGGGCTGGTTCATACAGTGGCTGGCAGTGTATGTGTGAGTACTTGCGACCACATCTACGAATGCTACGTGCCAGAGCGAGGTTGTCGTGAGCGAACGTTAGTCGTCCCGTCACATGGAGTGTTGCATGGTCGACGTAGACATGATCGGGTGGGAGCTTTGTATGGCAAGCCAGGGTATTGGTGTGCGTGTATCCAAAGGCTCTTATATTCAGACGTGCGCCCGCTCCGTGTAAGCTGTTCGTTTATCTTGCACGGCCGACCGATTCTAGGCGTGGACTAGCGTAGAGTCACCGCCAAGTGTTCGGAACCGGTCGAGGACGTTGCACCCAAACTGTCGTTTGATGATATGCTGGTCAACCGGGTTGAACCATATTCGGACAGCGTAGTTGTGGGTTCTGTGTCTCGGGGCAGGGACGCCGTGCGCGGGAAGTGTACATTATATGGTCATAGCGGTTTAGCTGCGTTTGGTTGGTTCATGATACGGTTGTTGTGCGAACAACACGCACCAGGTCATCGTTATACGCCCTTTCTCGTCTTTGAATGTGATGGTCCACCGCGTATATGCACTAGGAAGTTCAAACTCATAGTCAGTGCGTCACGGTTCGTATGCGCGTGCAGTTGGCGCATCACGCACCAACGTTTACATTCTGCGTCCCCTATCTCCTGAATCCACGAAATACGTAAATAGATCTTATATATGAAGGACAGTATCCTGCGTTTTGAGGTATGTTACCCGTATCAACTGCAGGTAATGCTCTCCTGTGGTCAGCCGGCCCTTCTTTGATGACTGTGTATTGGACGCTTACACGTCGATTCCGCGTCCCGGCTACTGTTATGCTTGGCAGCGATATGCAAGGTTGCCAGAGTTATATATGCCGTGAGCGAGGCATGATGATAGTTCGGTACAAACCGAATTTCTTGACAGATGTCACAAGTTCAGCGGCGCATCAAGGGGTGGGATTGTCATCAATGATTGACTGTTGGCGTTCGCACCCTCGGCGCTTTCTTTCCTTGACGACCATGAGCCCTCGTTTTCGTTCTTCTGTCGGTATACGAGTCGACTTATGTGCTTTTTGTGCTTTTTCCGCTTTACATGGCTCGTCGTTGTGCGTGTTACGTCTTTTATCTGCGATTCACGGGCAATAGGACTGGGCCGTTTGTCATGTCGTTGCCAGCGTGCTGTGCCGTAGCCTGAGCCAACTGGTACGCGCATACATCTGCGCGGGTCTTTATGCCGATTGCTTGGCCTTGCTCTGTTGCTTGTCTCCGGTCTTGGTCGATACTCGTTCCTATGGAATATATCATATCGATTTCGCGTAAGGCAAGCGGTATGTTTAAGGTATGCATCGCCTATACATGCAGAGGCAACGGTCGTGCTAGGTGGCTTTGGCTTTTGATTGTTCATGTTGACGTATCAGGGCGCTTATTGATCGCCTGAAGAGACCATCTGTTCATGCGTGGGAGTTTGGCGGTGTTTGCCGGTGGTGTGGCTCGGATTGCATTCCGCGGTTCGCGGCTTGACCTTGACTCTCATCCTCAGCATGGCTCAGACAAAGGACGGCGATCCTAAATCCTCGGACGACAAAGTATACAGCGTAAGAGCTATTCTTGGCGACAAGAACATCAAACGCTTGTCGGAGCGGCTACGGGCACAGAATCCGAAACCATGTCTTCGCAAGATGTCCTCGGTCATGAATCGAATGCCATGGAGGTCTCCTCCAATGTGTGGCTCAGACAGCCTTGCCGAGTGGCTGCGCTCAAATAGGCCCGACGCTGATAGCATGGCAGACAACGATATTGTTTCGGTGTGTGACTCGGCATCGACAGGTGGCGCGATATCTTACTGTGGTTTAGAATTTTGCGGACTATCTGGATTGGTGGGAGAATGAAGGAATATACCAGGACACCACAAACAAAGAGCTTAAGCTGCTGATTCGTCGTATGGGTCTGGAGGAAGAGGAGCCAAATCCACCCCCATACGCATTCCGCGCCATTCAGGCAATAATCCGTTTGACTTCCACGGATAGCCATCCATGGATGTTCTTTTACGGGCTACTGGATTGTCTTATTTGGTTCTTAGAACTTGATTGCTCCAAGGCCAAGCAGTTTCCTCCACGTCCGAAGTTGTATGCGATTATTCTGTCTAGCTTGACGAAACAGTCGGTATGTTTTTTCGTGTCGCTTTCGTACGTCATCGGCCCACTGATCATTATCCAGCCATCTTTTCGGGTGAACGAGAACTGGCTTCTTGCAACGAAAGCGTCCATCATTCACTTACAAAATGGTGTTCCTGCAAACAAGGACTTCGTCAGTGGTCTGATATTTCCACTGGATGTCCTCACTGACTTATATATTAGGGTAGTGAGGCTCAGCACTCCTTCGCTCGAATATCCGGTCCTTCCCAAAACGACAACATACGTGACAAGGAAAATGTCATTACCGATTATGGGCAGGATGATGTTGGAGACGACGCGTCGGCGCAGAGACCAGAAGAAGTGGCTGTTCTGGCAGGAGTTCGCGACAGCAAGATCATGAATACTCTCATTCGCAAGATGGACAAGTTGACCTTGACGAAAGCTATGGATCGTCTATTACCGTCTATCGCTCAGGCAGATGGAAACGCAAAATACCTGGCAATTACTATGAACATCGAGATCGCAGCCATGACGGTTGGATATATTCTCGTCGTACGTGGCATTTTCGTCTTGCTGAGGAACTTAATAACAGGCGTTCATGTAGAATGCGAAGAAGGGCGGTCCCTCCATAGTTCTCGGCGACATATCCAAGAAAATGGACCAGCACAAGTTGGTATTTTGCTTATACTGTTTGTCTTCGAGTAATCAAATCGTGCAGGTCTAATGAACCGGCCTGGTACACGAATAAATACGTCTATCAGCCTCTTGCCATGATGCTGTTCGCAAGCCCGCTCAATTTGCTGTACCCTGGCCGAATGTATTCCAATCCAGTCCAGTTTTCCGATCTGTTCGCGGTGCGTAAATATTCTTGTTGATTATAAAACCATTTCGTTTACCCGGATGTAGGCGTGGGTAGCGGCTGGTAACATGGCTCGTCCGGTTCCGCTATGTCAACTGGAACGTGATATTTGGTCTATGGTGCTCCAGGTTGCATCTGGGGCGTCCGTACACGCCATTTTGCCCGTTTATATCAAGCGCTGGGCCGGTTCCATCGATTCTGACGACTTGGCCGGTTATGCAACTTGGTTGAAGGACTTGGGCTTGGGCCGTACGTTTGCTCCGTTGTATAGTGCATCAGTAAAGCTGACCTTCATGATACCAGCACCGGGTATGGATAAAGAACGGTTCGAAGAATTTGATGAGGAGGACGCAGGTGGTTCGGATCGTCGTTCTCGTTCACCTGTGACTGGGCAAAAGCGTCCACGTCCATCACATTCACCAGACTCCTCTTCTAAGAGAATGGTTACTGGTGCTCTCTTGAATCAACTTACTCGCTTGAAACTGATTGTTTATAGGAGGTTGACGACGATTGTTTTGGCGGCATCAACGGCGGTTCATTAAGTCCCTTGCCTTCGGACATGGAAGGTGATGTCATGCCGTTGCATAAGTGGTTCTATACGCGCGTATACTGATTTACTATTTTGAAGACGAAGTCCCGCGTACTGGGAGCGGCTCCGTTGCCGATGAGGATGATGTTGCCGCTTCACAATCTAAGCGTCCGTCGAGGTCAGGCCCCCGTGGTCGTCGTCGGCAACCGCGACACAAGACCAAAGTTCCTGGAAGTCGCAATCAACCAGAAACTGGCCCGATAACTCCTAGGCCTGTACCCAAGCTAACTTCGAGGTTTATGCCTCCGACCTCTTCTGGTGGGCGATCAGATGTCGAAGAGGACATGCTCGCGGACGATAATCTTGATGATCGTGAAGACGAAGTTCGGGATATTCGTTCGGGTCAAGGTATCTTGAAGGAAGCCACTCCGGAGATAGACGTGCCGGTCAGTAGGCATGCGTTATATACGCGAGAAGTACTGACGGAAATGCGTAGTTTCAACGACGTGACGTCGTCATGCCTGCTCTGGTGAAACCATCGGATGGACTTGAACGCGTTCATTGCACTCCACACCGAGAGACAACAGTAAGCTTTAAGCGATCATATTTACCTGTTCATGACCTATTAATCATACATTAGTTCACATTATTCCGAGCCTTGGCCGGTTTGATCAAGCCTGATGTTTGTCCTGGGTCGATGGATAGTGGTATTGCTGTCATGTCGGACGTTGAGACTTTGACTTGCAATGCTGCGTCCGTAAACGAGGTGCTAAGGTCGAAACACATTCTCGTGAAGTCTACCGCTGGAGGTGACCCTGACTGGGAATGGGGCGCATCTGCGTTCTCGGCTCTTCGTCCAATTGTCGGCACGCCAATTCATGTTCAAGGTTAGTGGCTCGTTTGTGTGTGCATTATTATTGCAGTATAAGTTTGAACGTTCTCGTTGCAGATTCCAGTGCTGCGTCGTTCAAGCATTCGAACGACACGACCACGAAGACCATGACCATGGGCGAACTCATTCGAGCTGGCTATCCGGGAACCGGCGACGTTGATCATCTCAAACCCGACTTCGCGTACAGTTGGTCTGAATGTAACCTTGGTGGAGAAAGGCTGGTCCCACTGCCATTCGTATCGCCTCATGGGTACGTCCCCGTACTTCCTTACTCTGATAAGAATCAATATCATTTACGCTGCGGTGAGTAGCGGATGTGACATCGCGCCTTCGTTGTTACGAGTTGCGGTGCAAAATAATGCGTTTGACGATTCCAGTTCCCAGGTCTCGTTGAACTGGGTGACGGCTGCAACGACCGGCGCGGAAACCGTACAACACATTGACGATGGAGGTTTCGGTACAGTGATACATGTACTGAGCGGCCGCAAGCTGTGGATAGTCGGGACACCGTTAGAAAGGAACGATTTCACTAACTCGTCAAGCACGTTCATATCTCGGGACTTTGAAGGGCGTTGGGATTGTGTACCGCCCGCTGGCATGAAGTGGGAGGCCGTTGTCTTAGAACCAGGCGACACTTTGTGAGTGACGATATTTAATGTACGGTAACTTGTATGATGACGCATACCACGCACAGTTATCAACGTCCGGGTACACCTCATGCTGCCATCACTCTGGAGTCGTCTCTGGTATTCGGCATGTACGTGTACGCGCCTTTGAGCCTCGTGGCTTCAGCGACGTCGTTTGCCACGACGACGCTTGGCCATAACATCGCCACGAATACTAGCGTGGAAGGCTCGTTATCGATGCTGCTATCCATTGCATCGTGGTGGTGGAACGGGGACATTGCTTTGGACGACGACGACGATATGTTTGATCCAGCTGGTATGTCGTTATTGTGATACTGTGACATCGCTCATGCCTAACTGTTGTAAAGCCCGCGCATGTAGACCGTCGTTGCTGGACGATCCCGCGACGTATGTTGCAGTCCTTGCCATCTGCGTGTTTCAAACCGCGTTATCTGCTGTGAACGACGGCACTGCCGACAGTCGACACGTCCGTCACATACCATCCAACCGCAAATCCTGGGCTGAAGCCGAGAACCTACACCAGTACATCATACAGGCTGGCGTACTCATGCGGACGCAAGTCGACACCGTCATTGATCTGTCACACGTTGATCGTATCCATGAGTTGCGCGACATCATCCTCGACTATGGTCGAGCCATGCTGGCGATGGCTATCGACCTTCATCGCAGTGACACACGACTCAACGTGAGGAAGTTCCGGCAGGATCTTGATTATGACGTTCGGCTTGCGTACGGGCTTTCGGCCGATGAGTGGGTGGACGACGATAACCTGTCCCACATGCCTTTTATACCTTCTGTTACCTTCGTCTCTGATACCCGGCCTGATCTCATTTTCCGGTTTGAGTCCTCGTCATAATGTACTTTTACGCGTCCATGTAGCATCCGCGGTTATTGTTACTGTTGTATTTTTATGCTATCCGCAGTTGATAGCGTTCATCCATGAAGTCACGTCCCTCACGCGTATTACACGTATCGTCTTTCGAGTTCATAAATCTGTTATGCATTGAACAATATTTGCCGCTCTGCCTGGCCTTCTATCGGAATCTCAACTGCGCAACGGAATGGCCATATGCTGGACATCGTTACAAAAATGCTATGTCACAATTTCCCTATCCGATTTCACGGTTGATGTACGAATCTAACGACGTGAACACACGCGTGAGCCATTGTCTGCCATTATACGAGACAATCCTTGTTGTTCGTTATTGTTCTGTATCTGTCAAAAGTCGCTGTCCAACGACCTATGAACGATAAGTTGCTGATGATCGTAGGGGCCATGAGCTCTTACAATGTTGCCGGTATATTTGAAACCGACTTGTTTGATCGCACGCGTTCGTATGGGTTATATGCAGAACCATCATTTCTGCAAGTGTCCCCTAGAAAGCGCGGTTTCCTCGATGCGAAGATGCAATCGGCAGCGCATGATTTCATAATATTGTCGGCAACCCATTCGATGAATGCAAATACGTCCTCGTTGTTGACATTCATGGCCAAACATGTACAGAGAACGTCTATATACACGCCAGTCAGCCGCCAGTTCGTCCTGTGACTCAGTAAATCTCGCCTGTCATATGCTGTTTTTCGATATCAACAGCCTCTTGCACCGCAGACCGCAGTATCTGCTTTGAAAAGTTCCTCGCGTGGTTGCCACTGAGCGCCGATGCAAACTGTGAGCAGAACGTGTCGTCTTCAAAAACGAGCTGAAGTCCTTTCATCATGCCAGGCATGAACCTCTTCCCGATTCCTAGCAGTGTTATGGCATACGATCCAGAATAGAAGACTTGATGCATCGTCGCGAATGCAATAACGCGCAAGGACAGCGGGTGAGCGTCGTTTATCACCCATCGCTGAACCCATCCCGTTTTCATGAGCATTGCAGGGTCATCTCCGCAGGGGCCTTGCTCGTCCAATGTAGAGTGCGTATGCCGTTCTAGTATGGTGGAGTACAACTCCAGATGTAGGTTGTCCTTCATCGCACGTAGACCCAGAAAACATCTTGCTTCAGCACCCAGCAGTGCACTGCTGAGCGCAGCCGTCGCAGAGCTATGCATGTATGGCTTGCATGTTGCCATGAACATCATCAAACGCATCGTGACCTTGCGCTCGTCATCGCTGAGCGACGACTTCCAATCTGCGCAGTCTCCGCGGAAGTCAATGTCCTCAACTGTCCAGATCTTCATCTCTGCTTCTTTGTATACGCGCCAGACCTGTTCCAGGCAACTGACGGTCAGATAGTACGTATCGTGTTAACTACAGACCGCACCGCTTCTTCCGCGACTGGAAATAGCACGAATCTTTTCTTGTCTATTGCATGCGACCTTGGAGCGGGTCAGCTAAAATGGTACAAGTTCAAATGATAAGTAACCGCACTTGGAAGCGTCCGTCATGATGCAGGTATGTATCTCGACCGGATCGTACTGCGCCATGGCCTGGCCGTAAATTATGGTGGCCGTGCGGAAGTGAGATGACGCGTCTGCGGATCAAACGCGCCAATGCATGAACAGACGATCTGCTCAGGCAAGCGCACGTGTCCGCCCCGTGGGATGTGTCACGTGGATGTTTGACTTGCTCTGGCCGCTGTTCACGTTCTTCTCGACGTTCCGTAATGGCCGCTCCCCCGATGGCTGACCGCAGCTTCTCTCAACGCTGCAGGGATGTTCGATTGTACCGTATCGCTGGATATAAAGTCAGCTACGATACGAAATGTGGAGGCTACACCGGCTATTCCCGTAAACTCAAAACAGTTCTGCCAGTCGGGGAGTTGCTTCGCAAAGGTTTCGAAGAAGTTCGATGGGATGGTCGGTATGTACTAAGCTTATTGACCCTTGGTATATGTGATTAATGACTACGAACAGCGGCTTCTTGGCGTTCATCGATGACGACGATGTCGTCGCTTCTGTCATGATCGGAAAGCCCAGAGGCCTGTCCGCAAGAGATAGTAGAGAATGGGACACTCAAAACGCTCAGTATGCGCTGCACCTCGAACAGCTCCGAGAAAAACATGAGAAGACATTGCCGTCGAAGGTCACTTCACACGGGCGAGGCGATTTCACTGCGATCACGTTCGGCATTTCGTACGGAAACGGCCTACAGGTTACTTGCTATATCATCCGCTTGGGTCATGACATTGAATTTGGTAAATAGCGACCCGCAAATCTTGTTCACAGAACATTATCTGAGCAAGCCATCGTCAAGGACTGCATCGAAGACAACTTCCTACAACAACGAGCAGAACGGGCCTCTGGTACGATTCACTTTCACATGCTATGGTGATGTTTATACTTAATATCTACAAGACATGCTTGCCCTATTCTTTCCTCTCGCGTACGAGCACTTGAGGAGCCGAATGGACGACTTACGCAAGTCGCATCCTGAACTGCAATTCAACTTCACGTCCAGCGTTTATCCCACATGCGCTATCAACATGGGACCTCGTAGCGTCAGTGTGTGCCATACCGACGGCAATAACTATCCGGGACTACCATGTTCAGTGGAGTCATACGGCAACTTTAATTGGCGCCATGGCGGCCACATGATCTTGTTGCAATTCCGGATATTCATACGGTTTCCGCCTGGTTGCATCGCCTTATTGTCGTCGGCAGGAATTCAACACGGGAACACGCCAGTCGCGGAACACGAGACCCGATACAGCTTCACGCAATATGTTCCTGGTGACTTGATGCGATGGATTGCACATGGATGCAGGGCGGCCAGTACATTGAGTGTACAAGATCGGGAGATGCGGGATGCTGCTGCTGATGAGGGTTGGTCAGCTCAACGGGCACGCCTTTCAAAATTCTTTGACTTGCCAAATGACAGGAAGATGGCGCATGACCGTCAAGGTTGAAACCGCGCGGTCATTCTGATGAACAGCATCCATGCTGATCCGTCTGATATTCGCACCGCCATTGAATGACGACAACAGACTATATAAGAACGCTCGTTCGTCCAGTAGTGCTACTCTCGATCCACTTGTCGCCGACCTCCGCCATCGTGTTTACGTCGTCGATAGCATACCACGCGTTAATAACAGTCTGTACCGCCATTCCGTCATACTCCAAGACTACTTCGAACAATTCCCATGTCGCACGTAATAACATCATCGTACTCTACTCCGAATATATTATCGTCCTTGCCGTGTTCGGATCACGCGGCCAGCGTTGCTTGCTCTAAGCGAATCTCGTCTGGACCGGCCACATGCGTGGCGCAAGACTTGCCTTCGCAGTCAGGATATCTGCGATGTGTCTACGATCCCATCCCTTGCAGTGTTCATCGCCGAGACATCAGCGAATTCACGCATATACAGTATGATCTGGACATTACATGCGCAGTCATATCAAGTGCGATGCTTGAACGATTGGGCACTTCATCTGACAGAAGTGGGCATGACGACTGCAAACACGCAACGTGTGTTTGTCTTCACCCATGTCGGATTACCGTATTCATCGACACTGGAACTCGTTGGTGTCAACAAAACCTATGCGCGAGGGTCGTTGACGGTGACTTTACTCACGTCCTTGTGGGCACCCGTCATGCATGGCTTCTTGAACAATACCACGATGATTATACCCTTCAGGCCATGAAGACCATGTCGCATCAACTTCTATCCGTGCAGGACGATCTAAACAACCGGCTTCTTGCCGTGCTTCCTGAAGTAGCTCGTTACAGTGACCACGTGCGCTCAGCTACGACATCGAATCCTCCAGATATTGTGCCTGTTCAACTCGCGTCGCGTTCCTCGCTCGCATTGCTGGATTCAAATAACCGTACGCTGGTCTTCCGTTGCTTGCGACGATTGCTTGATAGGGACATGAGAGAGAAATCCGCATGCCAAGCCTTCTTTGGTGGCGGGCGTAAATCACTAGCTCGTCTGGGTGCAAAATACATGACATACGCCATGCCTGGTAATTTCATTAAACCTGATGCACCATACATAGTTGTCGGTCATTACACGCATCAATCTTTTGACGATGCAATGTTGGACGATGGTGAATTGCTGACATCTACGCCAATCCAGGAACTGATACGCGTGCTAAGTCATGATGACTTGATAGTTGCAGCTGCTGCTCATGGAGTATATTGTCATTACCACGACACAGACATCGCAGATGTTCTGATGGCTCATGTTGACGAAGGCAAGGAGTGTTGTACGATGCAATACACTGTGATCGTTGAGACAAAGGCACGACGTGCTCTGCATCAAACAAAAATGGAAGGTACAGATCATGTGGAGAATCATGAAACATTTCCCCCACGTCCATTGGGAGACGATGCTGTACATCGAATTATCCATAATTTCTGCGATGAATTCTCACCGGAAAATGTCCAGGAGACCGGTTGCATTGTCTGTGGACAGTTGAAACTACGTCGAACGATGACTGAAGTGAACGAAGACACATTTGATTGGCAACTTCTTCACGACAGTTCTGGTTTTGTCACTAGAAAAGAACGTCATGACGACCATGAGGAGATACAACCTTTGAACGGACCTGTCATTGCGGGTGGCACGGAACGCTTGGCTTGTGCGACATGTATGAAGTCACTAACAGGTAAAAAACCCAAAAGGCCACGGGATGCGCTTGCGAATGGACTGTGGGTAGGCGAAGTGCCCAGCCAGCTGATGGGATTGACCTTTGCAGAAAAGATCCTCATAAGTCGTGTAAGATTTAACCATTGTGTCGTCAAGGTGGAAAAATCAGGCCACATGAAGATGCGAGCAAATGCTATACTATTCCCATCGCCGGTAGCAAAGGTCTATGACATACTCCCGCCCAAAAGAGGAGACCTGGATGAAGTACTGGCCTATATATTCATTGGACCTAACAAACCAACTGAGAAAGACCTTGAAAGAGTGCC